ACGGCGTCCATACCAGTGGCGTGGGATAATACAAAAAGCTTGCCCTCAAAGCATCTTTAAATGGCCCTACCGCGTCTACTGATAATTTAGACTTCTCAAACAAGGCTCGATTTCAAGATTATTTGATCGTTTGATGGGCGAATATGCAAGTAAGGGCGAGAAAAGTGCACTATTGAGAAGGAAAGAGGAATCTATTAGGTTCGAGGGACACAAAACAGCGTTTTAGCAACCACTGTAATTTCGGAACGAAATGACTTACACAGAGACATGGTTAAGTTGTATAAAAGGTACTACATTAAAACGTGAGACAAACTTACGACTTAACGCCAGTTGCTGAAGTCACATGTTCCACAAGGGAAAGCACTCCCAAAAATACTTCAAAATATCTCTTCCGGGATACTTTCGTCCTCTCAACCTTTCACTAACGAGGAATGCATTCTGGGAGGTAACTGCATTTAGCATTTCGTAATACCTTCAGTCCTCTGACAAATCAAACATTTGTCAGAATTATGTATTTTCCGTTTTAATAAGGAAAGTAAGAAACTGAAATCACTCACCTCTACCTCCTGAACCCTTCTCTGGTCTTCAAGTTTCAACTAGCAAAAATTATTTATACCATTTGCTTGAAAGATTTTAAATTCCTTGAAAAAGCACCTGCATTCATATCAAACGTTCATTTATCCAGTAAATACATGGGGCTGAACAGGAGCCTCTACCCTTAACGAATCCATTGCAATGGTGCCTTTACAGAATAGATGACTTGGTTGATTGCTTTACGCATATCTGGCTTGATATTTACGGTCTGAATCCAGTAAGACAAGGAGCAGGAAAAGCACCACACCAAAACGACTTTGAAATTACCACCTGTGCCTTACAAATTTACTGGCCGATTCGAAAGAACCGATTATCATTTGTGACCCATTTACATACCATTTTTGGCTAGAAATTCTACAAATTTTCACCAAGCGAGCATATAATTATAAGTGCCTTTTAGTAATCTGCCTGCACATGTGTAATTTTTGAATGCAAAGCTTTATGGACGATATGTCCAACCAATCTAATAACAATTTAAGTGCAAATATATTAGTTTAATTGACGATGAGGAATGATTAAACTGTTTTCCAGTACAAAGATTTGGGTCTATATTGTACGCTGCTAATTTAGGGCCCTTTCATTGTGGTAAATTAATAAACGCTTTTCATGCTTGACCTATTGCAACTTATGGGGCATTTAGTTAGGACGATGTTTTTAGGAAGGACGTGAAATTACACGCTTACACCTTTTGCAGTTGCATCTTTTGTTCAAATTTGATGGCATTTGAGCTGTCTTACTTAGTATCTTCACGAATCTTATGTAGCGTCCCGAGACTCCCTGAAGACAAAAGAAGACAAAATACTCGGGCAGAACATATATTCAGCGCAGAGAAGGTGTCTGGGCTATTGGCATGGCCCAAAAGGCCAGCCCACCCAGGGAGGTACATGGGGGCTAATTCAAAGTACAAAAGTGGCGCCTCACCAGAACCGAGGGATAAACCACTATCG